GAAAAAAAGGTGAAGCAATTTTTAATACATACTTTTATACATACTTCAATTGCGTATTTTTTTGGAAAAACTATAAAAAAATTCAAAATATTATTATCGCTCGTCAAGCATTAAAATAGAGATAAATGTATAAAAGTCATATAATATTTTACACAATTCAACGCAGCATTTTCCTTTTACTTATCTAATGTCGATTCGTCGGTTAAAATGCTCGGAACGTATCGCGCTGTCAGCAATTTTTTTCTCTCCCTCTAATAAAGCTCTCGTCAGAGACGCGATAACGCGACGAAGATACGAATGGCGTTTCGCCCGAGGATCAATTTCATACAGGAAGCAGATAACTAAACGTGTCACGAGCGTGAGTGTAAGATTTGCGAACCGGTTGCGTACCGGAAAATAACGAAACGACAAAGTATAACACATACATCGCGCGCTATAAAAATCGCGGACAAACGTCGCATGTCTGTTTGCATTTGTTTTAAGAAGAACCATGAATATGCAGCGCGTAAAAGTATTATATACATATGTATCTTCGCGTAGCCCCGTGGATAAATAATACGGAAAAGAAAATTTTTCCCTTCTTTAACATGCACGATAAGATCGATCTGACAATTAATAAATTGCATGCGATAAAAATTGCTAATTAAGAATATTTTGTTTAATATGTATGTATAAAATAATTATCATTGGCAATCAATTACTTGCTAAATCCACTCCGTATCATTATCGATCAAATTATTTTCTCGCTTAATTTTTTCTTCTGATTTGTCTTTATTACGCCTTTCAGACGTAAAAGCTTAGAAGATTATGAAAGAAGCCGATAAAAAAATAGGATAGAGAAAAAGAGAAAGAGAAAACATTCCTTACGAGATTCCTTCGCGTGCTCAGGTGAGACTTCGTAACGTCATTGGCTTTAAAAAAAATCGATGGTCAACAGGGCATATCTCGGGGGGGGAAGGCAGACTCGTGAAAGGGGGAATTCGACGACGAAGACATCGTCGGGTCGCAGATACTATGAGTAGGCGGAATGCTTAACGCTCCAGAAAATTAGGAACGTCCTGCCTGAAGAAGTAAAAGTATATCTGCTCGGGACTGGTGCTCCGGGGTCTCTCGTTCTCCTCCCCCTCCTTCCTCATGATGCAAGGCCCGACGAAGGAGCGATAGGTTGGTAAAGGAAAAGCGGAAGGAAGAAGGGGGAGATGGCGAGGATACGTTCGGGTTCCGTATCTTCGCCGTCACGAGAGGTAGACAGCTGCCTTCGTTTATTTCTTTCTTTTCCCTTCTTTTCTCACAGCGTGTCGCCAGTTCCTCCGTTCACGTGCAGCGTCTAATTCCTACAGGCACAATCCAAATGAAAATCCGAAAAGACAAAAGGAAAGAAATTGTAATGACTCGAATTGACAAACATTCGCACGGATCGAGTTCTATGAATCTATCGAGTAAAAGTCAAAATACATATCTTAAAAATACGTACTTCAAAATTATAAGATCTCTTCCAAAATTGTAAATGTTCAATACAATCTTGATGAACTATGCAAAAATGTGATTTTTTAAGAAATAAATAATATTACGCGTTGTTATATATTGTAAAATTAACATTATCACAGGGATAAGCCCAATTCCTAAAAGTTAAATGTTGAAACACAAGTTCTTATCATGTACACAGATAATACACACGAGCGTCTTCATCTATTGAAGACTTTAACGCATAAATAAAATTATTTATTTGATTACTAATTTCCAAGTAGAATTAAACAACTGATTTTAAGTTACAAAACAAGTATAATTTCTAGGATTATTGTGCTCGTAATTATCTATGAATTCTACAGCACCGGATTCTTAATTAATGCCAACTCATTAACACGTATGAATTATTTATTATTTTGTCTCTTGTGCATATAATTTACATCTATACCACGATTAATTTTAATTTTTAAGTATACCGTGTTTGTAAACACGTGCACAAATATCTCGAAAGCCCTCGCGAACTAAAAAAAAATTAAAAAAAAAGAAAAATTATAATTATTGCTAGAAAAAATTACAAGTAAAAAAATATTGATCATTTTTATATGAATTTATACTATTGAAAAAATATCGATTTCTACATTTTTACCTCTTTTTCAAAATAAAAGATTTTCTATCGTAAAAAGTTTACTAATCTTTCAAAAAAGATTAAATTCACAAAATCAGTGCAAATGCTTTTCCTACAAAAGCTTAAATTTATTTATAATTCGATTATCTCGTTTCCAGAATCGGAGGCGCCAATTAAAAACGATCGAGTAAAGAACGATTCCAAATAACAAGTTTCTCGTTACGAAATCGGATTGCACCCGAATGCCAAGCGACAATTTCATTCCGACGGAAACGATAGTTCGCAACGCATACGCGTCACGTAGATGCACACATGTCCGGATGAAAGTTGCGTCATTTCGTTTCAATGACGTGCACGCGAAAGAGGAGGAAGGTTTTTACGCACCACATATGCGACACTACGCGACCCAGAAAAAGAGAGAAAAAGAGAAAGAAGATTCATCTGTAGTCGTGCACATGCGATACGATGGAGACTCTAAACACCCACCTCACTCTCTTCTCGCGAAATTGCGTCATTCGTACTGAAGTAAACCTCATAATTTCGCAGATCATGATCCTGTTTGTAAATACCAAGTGCGGTTTCATCAGCGAGCCCGCGACAATTTACGCGCTTAATCTGGCTAGAATAAAATTTAGTTGTAAAAAACATCGCTAAAAATTTAATTAAAATATATTTTTAGTTAAGCATTTGAAAAAGTTATACTAAATATTAAGGCTAAATTGTAACTAAAATGTATTAAATTGTCACAAGAATTAATTATTACGAAATATAATCCGAGTTTTTAATCATTCTCGTCGTAACTCATCATTTACTAATAAATAAAATTAAAAATTCAATAATTTAACGAATAAAAAATAAGAACGAAATCTACGAAAGATACAACGAGAAGGCGCAAGAATGACAGAAAGTTGATAATGTAAATTGAAATGCAGCTAAGGCAGCTCGGATACAAGTCCTCTTTATCTGAAAACTCTTTATAATTAAGATATCACACACAAATTTTTCAAATTTACTTCATCTCGTTCGCGAGGGAAAATACATTGCTTCGAATCAGTCATCCGCCCACGAAGTCTCTTCTGCGTGGGATACCCCTGAACGCCCACCTATTCCCATCACCCTCTGCCTTTTCGTTATGAAACTGCGTCACTCGAATCCTCGTAAATGCCATAATCTCGAATAATAGAATCAAGTGATACAGCGATACCAGATTGCTTTTTAATGAACGTATACAAAAAGAGATTTGCAAATGTATTCAACAATGTGGATTTTTTTTATTATAAAATTAAAACGAAACAAATATTTTTCAAGTCTTAATTTAAAGATTGCATTTTCGATATCAGAAACTAAGGAAATATGGAGTAGAAAATGTTGAGTTTGAATCATATTACAATTGATTTTTTTTACAAATTATTCATTTATATCTGTGAGATTTTTATACATAAATTCTTTTTCATATGACATTTTTCGAATTGTAAACCATTATAAGCCTGCATTCTATACAAAAATAAAATTCTATCACGATTCATAAAATATTTGCGCGATAATGGAAGTAAATGGAAGTAAAAAATGTTGAGTTTGGATTGATCATATTTTAATTGATTTTTTTCTTAATAATTATTCATTTATATTGGTGATATTTTATAAATATATTTTTTTTCATTCATTTTCTGATTATAAGCCATTATAATATAAGTTCGCGTCTTATGTAAAAATAAAATTCTATTATGATTTATAAAATATTTGCGCAATCGTGAATAGTATTTTAGTTTTTCTTTCGAGTAACACAAAACTCGTCGTTACTACCCATTATATGCTCCATTACATTTGATATACAGGAATACTCGCAATTTTCATATGAATTAATGATATGAGTACATTTCTCCTCCCAGTGCTCCATTTCATCGACTTCGAACACCATCATTAAATCAAGCAGGACAATTCTCCGATAATGTTCATTATACATCTGTTTTTAGTTTAGTGAATTCAATACAAGTGACGTGTATCGCGATTGGAAGCGAAAATTGATAATTAAGGATATAGTGCTAATGAAATCCGAGATTAAATAATTCAACATAACAACGTATTTATCATACGGTTTAAACATGCTTTTTTAAAAAGGACGCGTATAAAAAATCGCTTAATTTTGAATACAATTAAGACGAACGTTAATTTGCATTAATCGCGACGTAAACGCTTATACGTCTATATGTATCGTATTCTTGGATAATTTTTTAACTAATATTATCGTCTTTCGAGTATAGTAAACGTATCTGTAGTCTCTATTAACTATCACAGATTGATATATGTATCCTAGACTCATTATCATTAATTAAAATCAGTTCTTAGCTTTATTATAGAGATTAAAGAGATATTATAGAGATACAATCTTTAAATGTACAACGACGCAAATATAAAAATTCCTAAAATAAAGCAAGTTTTTATTTTAAATATAACGCAAATTTTGAAGTCTCGCTTCAACTCTGCTACTGCTCTGGCTCCGAGGCATAGGATGCTCGAGAAGCTACGCGCGCAAATCTCGGATCGGGCGCGCGCACTTTCACGCAGGCCGGCCGGTTGAGAACCGCTGAGCGGCCCGGCTGTTGCGTCGCACGTTGCTCGCGCAGACGCACGATTCTCTCTCTTGCTCTCTCTCTCTTTGTGTGAGTATAGTATACTCTCTCGTCAGTATACGGTGATTATGCCAGGCTTCACGTTCAAGAAAGAAACTACACTGTGTATCGCTATTCCACGGAATGCGGAACATCGACGTTAACCATCGCCGGTTTGATTACGAGATATCGCGGGATTAATTTCCCAAAGAATTTTTCGTACCTTAATGAACGACAATAGAAAATGATCGAATTGACGATTCGTTTATATAATATATCTCTCATAAATCTCTTTGTGTCGTATAATAATTTTTTTCGCAATTTTTTACAATGTGAAATAGCATGTGTGATAAATATTCGACAGCGAAAATTCAAAAATTTCGATACAAAAAGTTTTGACACAGAAGAGAGGATCTATAGCTATCCATTTCATAAACGAACTCTCTGTAACAGAAATTTAATTCGGGTTTTTATTAGAGCGTGTGTTTAATGTTGAAAATCAAAGAGCTACATTGATGATGTTCCATTCATTGTAACTTTACAATTGCAACAGAGCCTGTGATTGAAAGGATATACGATAATTCTGGCACGTTTTCCATAGTGAAATAATATATAATTTTCTGATTTGACAGAATCACGTGAAAAAGAATCATGCTTAAAAAATCAGTTTTATACGTATTACGAGAAAAGCGTGTTTTAGGATTATTATTCCACATCGATTAGTCGCGAATTACCAATGATAGTAGAGTATCATTTGCGTATAATTGTCTTATTTACATCGATGATTAATAGTAGAATTATGTGTACACACGGCGCTACATTTCAACGTTGCCATGATACTTCGACGATATGTTACGGTAATCATATCGAATCGCAATCAATTTAACACGCCAGACGTATATTCAATTAACGGACTCAAATGCCGATTGAGTGACTAGCGAGCGCGATTTTCGGAGCACGCCCGTAAGATAAGTGCATTTAATAGGCGTAATGGGCATGATTAATTAGTGGAAATCAAAAGGTCTCGCGTTTCATCAAAAGAAGGAGAAAGTCGCTACCTCGCTATCGAACCGTCGCGAATTATGAAAGATAATTCCTACGGCTACGTGTAATTGTGTAATTTACACCCGTAATTAATTGCTCTAAATTAGCTTTAGAGATAGTAAATCTTTTCTTATCATGCATCATCGAAGATGAGAATAAGTATATTTTTCTGTCCTTTCAAGAAGAGAAAAAGAAAAAAGATACTGATAAATGATTCTTTTGAATCTATTATTTGAGAAAGCGAATCTTAATTGAGAGATATTCTAAGAATATCCGCTTCGTGCAAAAATATATGTGAAAATTTTAAAAGTCAAATCATCTCGTTCCGACGAAATTCGTCGAATAAGCACGCAATATCCGACATGCCTTTCGCGTTTCTTCAACACCGAAAATACATACATGACATTTCTAGAGATTACTTACGCAATGCCGATTTCTTTCACGATTCGCGCTATCGCTGTTTTTTTATCTGCACCCGCCGGATGCAAAAATACACAAGTACGGCGCGCGCGCGGAACGAAAAGTCGCGATTAAGTCATCGCGATGCAAAACAACCGTATGACGTAAGGTATCGCGATGCGATATGCGCGTATACATATGTTACATGTCGCCTCTCCTCTTCTATCCGCGAACCGTCTCTTCTTTTTTTTTGTCGATACGCGATCGCCTCGTGGCTAGCGTCAAAAGTAGCGTGCACGCAACGTCCGCCACCGCTCCTCGTGACGTCTCGACGAGCTTACTACGCATTACACGAACGGGAAAAGTGGCCGCGATCGATAATACCGGCTGACCGAGCGTGCTTCGAGAGCACGTGCTAAACACGGGGGGGGACGAAAACGCCGGTCGAACAACGGCGGAAAACGCCGTTGTCCTCGCCGAGTAAAACATGGCGATGTCAAACGCGTAACACGACCGCGATACACCGTGTACCCCGATCCCTTTAATCTTTCCTACCGAAACTACCCTCTTAGTATATTGCTTTGCATGGCCTATTGCGTTGCGTGCATGGCGCTTGCATTGTCGCCGGTGCTCGATTAGAGAAACGGAAAAAAAGAGTAGTATGAATAATTCGATAATTGAATGGTTCATCAAGAAAGTGTGTTATTCCACAATTTCCGTAATAAAGTCCGATCGTGGAAAAATCGATCTTTCTAGAATAGAAACTGGAACGTACTCGATATTAATACAGCATTTTATTTCTGCTCATTTCATATTTATCTATATAAGAATTTAATTTATAATTATTCGAGTTCTGAAAATAATTTACGTTTTCTTTATAATTCATGTTCTCCAAAATTGAGAAAGAGAGTACTCCAATATGCAGTACTTTTACAATAATAATTACATAATTTGTTAACAATATTAAAGATAAAACACGAACTGTTAAAATATTCCACAAGACTGGCTTTTTTCTTGTTTTCAGAATATTATTTATTAATTATATAATATGAATATATTTAATGTCTGCGATGCTATTTTTAATATTGTATATATATTGGCCATGAATTATTGCTACTTTGATTATCTATGGACCTTTTAGCAAAATTTTTTGAATAATGATTGAATTAAATGCCATTTTCTCCATATTCCATCGATTTTTAATATTCATTATAAATATTTATGGCTGTAATATATAACGCAACAACGCGCAAGAACGCAAAAAATTAATTATCTCGAAAATGAAAGATATAATTTACGTCACTTTCGTAATCTCAGATACAAATCACGGCGAAACGACTATCAATCATCAATAATATCGCAAAGATTCCAGAGGTATCATTATCGCGACTATAATCTGTACGATTCGCACGAATGATTGAAATGAAATTTTCGCCGTTCGCCACGACTCGTTAAAGAGTACGCAGAGCCGTAGAAAACGCAATTGCAACAAACGGCTCCGCGCAATTATGCAGATTATTCCTGGCCGCGTGAAGGATCGCGAACCCGTCGGCGTAAACTTCCTTACGTTGCCACACATGGAAAACTTGGGTGCGCGCTGTCGTAAGCGACAGCGACGCGGATATAACGCGGAGAATGTCGGCTGAAAACGATAGCAACGACAGATTACGGGGATAGATCTTGTTGCGCGTTCTCTCGACGCCTATTCTTTCTCCGACATTCCTTAAACGAATCCATGCATCTTCCCATCTTACTGCGCATAAATTCAGTGTATTTTCGATGTCTTACTTAGAAATTGATTAATAAGTTCGTGCTTTCAAGAAATAACATAATAATAAAGTAATAATTATTTTCTCGATAAGACGCTTTTTATTTCATCTTACTATCCAAAACTTTCCTTTAAAGGAAAATCTTTTTTGGAAGCATCCTTTTCTATATATGATTCTATCTGTAATTTTGCATATTATAAAATAATCATGTGCTTAACAGAATGAACTGGAATATGTCTTAATGGGACACGTTTCATCTTCAATATTATTATAAATTATATAATTATTATTGTAAAATATTGCACATCGACTGTTGTTCTTTCAAACTTTGGAGAACATAAATTATTAAATTATTAAAAAATTGACGTAAATTACTTTCAGAGATTTAATGCACGAATATTCATTTACAGAAAAAAATCGCTCTTTTCCATCTTCTTGTCGTTATAAAAGAGCTTGAAAAGAAATATAGGTCGCATAAATGAGAAGCACACATTAAAGGACTGGCACTATCCTCCTTAATAAGATTCGTCGCCGATGCGACAAGCCGGAATCATTGCGACAAACGAGTGAAATTATTGCGACAACAGTAGCCTGCAACGTGCCGAAGCGCACAACACGCTCGCGTTGCACTGCATGTGCATTCGCATGTAGGAGACGCATCTCCGAAGGAAGTCTTCCGTGTTCAGCTAATGTCGTTCCTCGACGAACCAGATTGGCGTCTCTATCGAATACGACCGAATAAATATAAAAGCGCAGCAGTAGCACGGCGCGTTCTATTTTCGCCCAGCGCGCCCTACTTGCGTCGATATTACATGAAATTTAACTGCAAGTCATATTTAAATGCGATCGATCGCTATCTATGTGATGGAGCGCAGCCACGGGTCATCTTATTTCGTCTCTCTGCTTTTCGCACTTGTCGATTAAAAATCCTCCGAGATTTTCTTACTCACAGATTAGATGATGAGATATATATATACTTGTTAATACGCAATAATATACGTGCTATCGATCGTTAGCAATAATGAATAATGTAGTAAGAAATTATTTAATAATTTTAAATGATTTTTAAATCATATTTCTTTTAAAAATATTTTTCTAAGTTAGACCTTTTTTTTCTTAAAAGCGAAAACATTTAAAGAGTGATTTGTATTTTCTCAAAGAGGAATTTAAGATATACTCATTATTTAAATAACAAGAGAGAGTTTGATAAACTTAAATTTAAGAATTTTTAATCGAGAGTGAGACTAATTATTAATTCGACATTTCTTTTTCTTCGCGAGCTGCGTTATTTCTTCGAAAATAATTTTGACCGCTTATATTCGCGTATCGTATTCAGCTAAATACAGTAGCAATGGAAAGAAAGGGCGAAAAACCGATATCGATGCAAGCTGGTGTTCATTGCGCCGGCACTGTTTGGAGTCACCCGTGTATACCATCGAATAAACTCGATAGAGCTCAAACCGTCCAGCCGCCATTGCTCGGACGGCCCGAGTCTTCGTACATGTAGAAATCTAGGCCGCATTATGGATCTACATGCGGATAGCTCAGTGAGGAACTTTGGTTCGAGCGCACGTGATCATCCTGATTTCGACCGTATATATATAATACCGACCGTATAATAAATTCGCCCTCTCCCCCCCCCCCATATTGCAAAAATAAAGCAAAATCTTGTGAAACTGATAAAATCTTTCTAAATAGAAAACATTGGTTACAACAGTGTAACTTCGATATCTACGTTAATTATTACGTATTTTTCATTGCATCATACATTTTTTGCATTGCATTTTTGTGCTTGGAATCTTTTTTCAATATTTATTTTTTCCAATTCCATTCAGACATTTCTTGAATTGTAACGATTAATCAAGTGATATTACGAATAAACTCATCGCGATTTTATGGATGATTCAAAATAGTCTTCATAGAGTGACATATGTTATTTAATTAATTGAAATGTCCCTCATTCAGATTTATTCGTGAAATTATAGTGAAATCGAATGTTGTTTCAGGGCATATCTCGACATTTAGATGCAAGATTTAATTATTCAAGCAAAGATATATTATTTAACCGAGCGTGCATAAAATATCGATATAAAAAACATACTATTTGATTACTGTAAATTTTTTAATTACTCAGGCATACAGCGTGATGGTAAAATTTCATATATTTTTGCATTTTTTTCTTCATCAAAAGTACATTTGACATTAACTTTATATTGTTAAAATATTGAATCATGATCATTAACATTTTTTTAAATGTCATAAATCAGAAATTAATTAATTCGCAACAAATAAGACAGAAAAATATTCTGATACTATTTTCCTGCATACTTTTAAAATAAAATATATTTTATATCGAGAGAGAGAAAAGAGAGAAAGAGATAAAACTAAAGAAATAAAAATACAACAATAACAGGAATAATATAATAAAAAAATACAAAAATCTATAGTCCTAGATTACAACCTTAGTATTTCAAAAAGTAAATTCTTCCTGTTATATTAAAAATATCTAATAATTTATTACATTTTACTTGCACATTAATCTTTAATCTTTAAATTGAAGAAGAAATAATTTTCCTATCTTTAAGATATCGTGATTTCCCTTCAGTGTCTCACTTTGAAAGAAAGAAGAGAAAGAGAGGAGAGACATTAAAATGAAAACCTTGTTTTAAAAACAGAAAACGAGATTTTTTAAATCCAAGAAAATTCTTTCTCGACCACCTAAGTGTTTATGAACGAGTTAAAGCTGTTTTAATCACCCGTCTCTTCCATGAATTTGCATAACGCGATATCGGACAATATCCTGAAATTAAGCGCGGTCTGTTTATGCCCGAAGCGTTGATTACACGCGGCGCATCCTGCGTGCGGCTAAAAGGGCCGTCATTTAAACGACCGTGAATGACGCGCGGCGACGTTAAAAGTCTTTCCCCAACAACGACCATCAATTATTTACAATTACAATCGGCTTACAGCGTGCGCGACCGCGACGATATGGCGCGTCGTAAATTACGCGTTATCATACGATCGCGTACTTCTCTGATACCTTTATTGGAATTAAATTACGGTAACCCCCGGTGATCTTTCAAAATTACAGATGGCAATCTTATTAAACGTCGAAAGACGAATTTTAATAGCAACGATGACAATAATTGTTCCCATCGTTGTAAAATATTTCTTTATACGCAAATAATTTTATATTATTTCTTGCATTGCTTTGTGACGTGTAAAAGTAGCAAATCGGAAAAAAACCTATGTAAATAAAATAGAAAAATTAATTAGAGAGTTCTCAAAGTGTTTTTAACGTTAAAATTTAAAGTTATATGTGTAATAATAAAAGCCGTCTAGTTACATTTTAAGACAAATCGAGTCCAAATAATTAAATAACGATGTCTTAAATAATCAAGACCATGTGCTTCATAGATATTTGAATCGCGTCGCGATTTATATGCACTATGCTTACGATAATGTCGCATACGTTTGGATCAATAGACTAACCACGTAAAATGGGACAGCACACACCTAATGGAATCATTTATATACCATTCCGCAAAAATAATCGTTCCTGTAACCGCGTCATTTCGTACACGATATACGAGCGACTCGTGAAAATTAAACGTCATCGTTACTATAGTCGTCATTCTATAGGGCGACAAGTAATATTCGCCAGTGACTCGCCAGTGATTTCGCGATTGAGAGAAAATTGTGTAGAACAGCGATAGAATCATTATTACTTTTTTATGATCGTTATTTTGTGATACAACGTTAAATGCACAATGTTTCGACTCACCCAGTAAAATATAACGATATAAATTTTTTGCACTCAGCTCTACGTTCATCAGTCTATATACATGTTATTATTACATGCTAATATCATAAAAAAGTCATACAAGGTATTCCAAAATAATCAACACATATTTTCACAAGAGACGCTATAATTCAAGATACTTTATATTTTTTTCGAAATAACTAACTTTTCAAGATTTTATCGTTTCATAAAACAAAATAGGAAATGCATGAAAAGACCTATAGGAAATCTATTTCGAAACACACGCAAGAGTTTTCATTTTTAAAATAAACCATCAACTACTTTTAGAATATATCTGTTATCATAAAACTCATGTTTTCACTGATTAAAATAAATAATCAATTACTTTTAGAATATATCTGTTATCGTAAAACTCATATGATTAATTTATATTTAAATACATAAATAATTTATATTTAAATTTATTACTAAATAATTAATTACTAATTAATTTATATTTAAATTTATATTTAAATAATACAATCAAGAGAGAAAATTTACCGAAAGTCTCCCCATCATATATATACAAAACTGTTATTTAAAAAACTGTCGCCTTATGTGTACTCACCCGTTAGAATTAGGTTGCACTCTTGCTTCAACAGCCAATCCAAAAATATATGGAACATGTATGCGTATATATATATAGATATCAATATATATATACATATGTATCAATCAACGTGTCTATAGAAGCTCCTAATATCGGCATGAAACGTTAATCACAGTTGCTGCTCCTCTATGCTTCTCTCAAAGCGATGTCGTCCAGTCGTCCGGCTCGAGCCTCGATCGAGCATTCCTGCTCAACACGTCGCGTGTGTTAACGTGTGCGATCTCGAGATCATCAGCTCGTTGACGAAGAACGAACGTTGCGAACGGGAGAGAAGAGTGAGAGAGATCGTGCAGCGATCATAGAGAGCGAACGCTACTTAATTGCGCGTGAGGGGGAGAGGGGAAAAATAAATCAGCGAGAATGACGAGAGCAAAGCCGTAGGGAGTGACGGGGCCCGATCTCTCGCGAGAGCACGGGACAAATTTCCCATAAATTACCGGAATAACGGAAAACTACCGGTTGTCTCGGCGAGATATATTACACTTATAAATTACGGTTATCACGGTAAAGTGGATTCGTTGATCCCTCTTTAACCGCGATCGCTATTATTTACATTAAAAGTAATAATAATTTGATTATGTCCTGTAAGCCGTGAAATTTTGCTAGCGCGAACGGCTGCCCCAATAATAACTCTTGTTGCTAACGATAATGATCCGCGTAAAATGGACGCTCGGGATATTAATTGTACAATTATGTGCATAATTACTTGTTCGATCTCTCTCTCTCTCTCGCTCTTGCATCTCCTTCTCTTCTCTTTTTTTTTTTTTTTTTTTTTAAAGAAACGTGAAAAAATCTCGACAGTGACAAATTCCTCTCCCGATTACACTTGCCAGCCTCGATCATTTACTCACAGCACATGTAAGTTTTCAACTTTTTCTTATTATAATATGCATCAGATAATATTGGAATCAGAAAACCAAATTGAACATGTTTAAAAAAAAAAGATTTGAAACGTGATTCAGAATTTTCTTCGCATTTTAGATATTTCGATAAAGCCAAAACCACGATGCCCGATCGTTTATGTAATTCCCTCGCGTTGCACGCATTCGTACGATTTCTCTCGCACATGATGGAGCAAATCGCATGGTTCGCAAACTCAACATTTTCCAATTTGAAACGGCACCGCGCGATTCTACATTGTTAGTACAACATCAAGCGGAAATCCCCTTTACAAACAGAATTAATTTATACTAGAGAAATATAAGTTTCCCTAATATAAATTAATTCTATGCGTAATTCCACCTGTATGTGTACATGCAGGCAAAGTATACGTATATATATATTGTATATATGCATGGGACATTAATAAAGTTCGAAATCACAGTATCGAAATTACAGTATCAGCTGGGTCGTTTAAATATCAGCTACGTTAATTTGCACCTGCATGGAAATGTGTTCGTGAGATCCAATTTTTGTGTGCGTTACCGTAGTGAATTTTGGATCCGAAGATGATGCGATGCGATGTACTTTTTAATTGATAAACGCGTGATGTACGCTTTTTAATTAATACTCGTGATACATGACACCGCAAATGCTCCAGTATTGTAGCCGAGAGCATTTATTCATTTCGTCGAGTCACAGTCGAGTTGTAGCAAGTTCCAATGTTAATTAATCGATTCGTTTATAAACATTAATGGACGCTACGCGCGATGGTATTAGTTAAATCGACAGCGATCTCCAATATTTATACGAAACAATGCCGTCTATTGAATATTTCAAATCGTGTCTTTTTAATTGTTATATCTACTTTGATCAACATGTAAAAATAATGTATTGCATAAATATGTATCATGGTAAAATTACAACATCGTCGATATAAATCTTAGTGTACAATACTGCAGATATCAGGTATTTATTTGACTCAATGAATGATTGACGCAGTTTGTTACATTTTTCAATTTTTTTACAACTATTAATTCGCTATTAAAACAAAAGTTGAAAACATTTATTAACTTAATTTTTAATAAACGTAATGATGAACTCGATTAATTGGAACGGCCGGATACATACGATAACTTCTATCACACTTTAATTTAAATTTCCAGTGATATTCTCGAAACATTCGATAATAATGGATCTTGCAAATTTTATATAACAAATTACACAAGCATGAATTTCGTTCTATCTCTGTAAATATTTAATTCCATTCAATTTTTAGTCCAACAAAATGGATGCGATACATCGAAGCGTCTATTTCTTCTCTCAATCATTGTGACATTTATACAAATTATTTTTACCTCTTCACATATTACGGAGCGCCCACATAACTTTCATTAATTGTATAAGAAACATGCATAGCAAATAGATTTTCATCAAGATTTAGTAAAAGTTCATTTCAATTATCGCATTTATATTTATATCTCCAATAACGGCAAATAATTTTCATCACAAATGATTGCTTGACATTTCAAAAATTAAAGTCGCAATATTTATTTCGCGCTTAATGAAAATAAAATGTCAAGTAGATTTAATTTCCAATCGTTATTCGCATAATTCGCAATTTCGCATTACACCGAATTATTATCGGTACGCGCTCTCGGTTGGAAAAAAAGCAAGCGAATCTCAACGAAAAATTTCTGTGCCCATTTCAACCAGATTCGATTTCTGATTGTCGATGATGACGAACGGACGGCGATCTCTGTTTGTCGAAGAGCGCGAGCCAGTGACGTTTGGTTTGGCCGCGTAAATATTTATCCGGACCTTATTCCTCTCTCTCTTTCTGTCCCTCTTTTACGCGTGATTCACTGAAATATCTGCGATAAAGAAGTCACGCGTTCGTTAACGACACCACGTGCCACGTGGCGAGAGCGTTTTCCATCTCCTCCTAGTATGTAAAAGCTCATTTGTGACGTATTTTAAGACATCGCATGATAAATTCAACGACTGATGTATCAATCAATTATACTCGACTTGTGCGCACATGAATGACATGCGAGATAGTCGCAATTATGTTGGTAATAGCCTGAACGACACAAGTATATTTTGCGGATGCCGACACGTGCCAAAAAGTCGTCGACAAAAAAACCGTCGTCGTCCCCGTACGTGATAGTCATAAATTATTAGCAAAGCCTTTCTAACACGCTCCGCGGTTCGCCATCATAATAAAAAATAGAGACACGTTAATATATCGTCGTTAACGCGAAACTATTACTGGATGCTTGTTAACAGCAACAGCGATTATTCCAAAATGACACTCTATTGTTTAACGACTATATGTACATCTCTGCAAACGAAAGTAAATTTGTTCAAAAACTTTCCATCATTTGTTATTTTCAGTAGTGTCCGTTTAAAAAATGTACTCACATGTTTTTTCAAGTATTTTCTGAAATATTACGCGAATATATTACGCGAGAGTAATTCGGTCAACAAGGTAAACGCATATTGCTGACCGATAGAAAGACGCGTGGTAATAAAAAACGGAGAGATAAACCCCGTTCGCGTAAATAAAAGTTATGATTGAAAAACCTTTCGGTCATCGACCGAGGAAACCGAGCACGATTCCACATCCTATTCGATCGTAAACGCGGCATTAAACAGACCGGCCGTTGCTCGACTTTCATCCACTTCGATAAATCGCTTCCAACGAACCACGGTTACATTACTCTTGAAATCTTGCACGTATAAGTGAGAAGCAGGCATTCTCAATCAGAGAACGTATTATCGCCAAATTTTACGATGCCGTCGTTAAACTCGAAAAGAGCCTGCGTGTGCGAGATAATTTATTTATTTTCTGCAGATTAATATTAATAATCGTTTTTCATAATAAAATAAAATTATTTTTCACAATAAAGGTACTCATTTCCAAAGATACCGATCATGTATTTAAAAAACTATTTTTAAAAGGATTTTTTTGAATTTATTATGTTTATGAATGAAATATTCATAAGAATGACAGATATAGTTTTTCCTGGGATTACATTCATAAACGGACTCTTTCTTATTAATGTTTCACATTTCCTTTGATTTTGTCGGAAATAGTAAAGGCTATAAATTTAGTCCAATTGAACATGTTTTAAGATCTTTAAACTCTTTAGCAGCTTATTTCTTCTGGTAGCGCAGCGATCCAATATAAGTCTTTTCTGTATTACATACACACTTTCGCGTTGTAATATAGTATCATTACTGGGTTTAAAGTGCCGACCCACAACCGATATCGCAAACTAATATATTGTGACTTAATCGATATTTCCTGCCAGTTGTTTTCCACCCATCACAGCAAGCTGTATGTTTAGTTAATCTTAAGCATAAAGGGATCAAAAGATAAATTTCAAACTTCGCGACGTTGCCCTAAAGCGTCTCAAAGGATTGTTTCACCGCGACGTAAGAGGATTCGTGTGATCTCGCGATCGATAAACGAAACTCTCGAGCGGCGTCGATCGAGGATTAAAGTAGGTGCCGGATTTATAACGGACTGACCGGGCGCGTACTTACGTCACCGAAACGGAAATCGCCACAATGGTATATCGGGATTTGCGAATCGCGCGCGTATTCGGAGCATTGAACTCGAACGATGGCATCGAATGAAGCCACCATCGCTTTAACGATGTTATCGGAATTGATCGCATTACAGACGAAATACTACACGTCGTGCAAAAGGCTTTTCCGTCCATTCCCAAGAATTCACCGACTTCGCACATACGTCTGATTACATTTTTTTTCTATGTGACAGCATTAAAAAAATATATATATGCCGTTTTTGTAACAGAATAAAATTATGTCATTAATATAATTGATTTCCTATTGTTGGAAGAAATGTACATAAATTGTTTCGAGTCTATTATTATTATTATATTCTTTGAATTTTTTAAATATTTTTCCTCAATTTGGAATAAATTCAAATAAGATAAAAAAAAATAAAATTTTTAATCACACATCATAAATATAAAACAAGAGAGATTTAAAAAAAAATTTTGAAAAATACACACTTTGCAAGAAAATATAAGTTTTCGAAAGTCAGGAAGTCTAGCCAGGCTACTACTTATACTGCTGAATTATGCGATTAATCTCCGCTAAAATTTGCAGAATTGCACGTTTTATAAATTTTCTACTCTAGTCAGCAAAAATAGCACACGACACATTTGCGTTTTGCATTTCAGCTAAATATCGCTTTATGTAAGAGATCCGAGTAAATCGTGTAAAATTCACAAATTTCTCTTTTTTATAACTACTGGGTGTGCGAGATATTAACAAATAATTCTTCGATTCGTACCAATGTATCACTAATGTCAATATTATAATAGAAATTAAATTCTTTTTCTCAATTTTATTCAATCTTGATTGCGTATTCAGTCGGCCACGTCCCTAAGAGAGCGCGCGCTCTCGACACACACGAAGAGGCACATCAGACAGCTTCGTTGGATTTTCATCGACAAGGAGCACGCAATGTATCCGGAGTGCAACTCACGCGAGTTTTCGCGGACGCGCAGATCCTTTCATACGAATCTTCTCACGCGGAGGATGCGCTTCGCGGAAGGTCCTGCGCGGACAACCTCATCATCTCTTCCGCGTATTCAGCCGTGGAAATTGCCAGCTTCCATCCGGCAGTTTTCTCGCCCGTCGAGAAACGCTGGCGAGAGGCCAGCAGCCGGTTTCGCGCCCGTCCCCGGGTGTGTCGCGGGTCTATTTTCAAATTCCGAGTAAAACCACGCACGCGTGTCCGTCCCTGCCCGTGATAAGCGTCACCGCGTGTCCGACATAAGCGGCGCCGAGACGTTCCAAGCGCCGGCGCGCATATTTCATATTTTACGCGCAGCGATATGGCAGCTAATGAGAAATCGCGACTTTAATTAATCGTGACTCGTCGACGAATGTACAAGAGAGGAGCGTCTGATCTTGCAAAGTTCTCCTTCAAAGAAAGAATTTTTGGTACGCGACAGTTCGCGTATAATTTGCGCTTATGTCACTGAGATGCACGTAACACATCCGAAGCACGAGTATAACGGACGTAAACCGTAAACGCCGTGCGCATCTAATTTTATGAGTCTAAAACACGCAACGGCTATCTCGTATCGGTGACGCAAAGACAGTAACTTCGCGTTAAAATTTTGCTTTACGCATTATCTGTAAATATGGGAAAACTTGTAACGATTTTATGACGTGTAATAATTTTATAACAACGGAATAAGTCTATATTATACATGTAATTGCATTATTAAATAGAAGTTAAATATATGCAAATATATTTAACTAAATTTTAATATTTATGTTAAAATATGTATCAAGCTATGTATACTTGATTTTCAATTATGTAATGTTTCATAAAATATCTCTTGCAATATTCAACAACTTTCTTAAATTAATATAACGTGCATAATTTATCAAAAAATTTGTTCCGTCTAAATGATTTTTCAAATTTTTTTATTAAATATGAATTTTAAGCGCTAAAAATATTAGCGCTTAGAAAATATCTTTTTACGATTAACAGATTTTTTTTTATTTTTTTTTTGTAAGGTGACTCTAAAAGCACTTACATGAGGTATAATGTATCTACACCGTCGATATTTCTATTTTCTTCTGTATTCGCGATACAAAACAGTCACGTGTCTATCGTTCTAACATATCATCATTGAAAACATCCTCGATCTGCTCCGAGATAGTAATCGAACTGTAAAGGGGATGGTCCGAAATAATTCTCCGAAGGCGTTGGAAGAGGCTTGTCACATGACCTTGTTTCATTGTTGCTTTTAATGTTATACGAGTTTCCGAATAAAAAGACGAATACGTATAAAATTCGTCAGAAAATATATAGAGTGTAATACATGCTGAATTTGCAAAATAATAAAACCTTTATAGATGCATATCTCGTTAAACATTAAAGATAATCTCCAAAATAATCGCACTAATTTTGATTGCACATTCAACAATTCATTATCACAAATTATCGTTCAGTGTAAGTCTTTTTTATATCGAATTCTGTTCATGAGTAAAAATTTTCGACTCTGGAGAAAAATTTCAAAGAAACAAATATATGGACAGAAATATAATATTAATATATAGTTTGCAGTTATCTTTCCGTAATAAAAATAGCGTGTAACATTTTCTATTTCTTACAAATAGTAAATCGTAATATGTGACGTTTCGCATATTAATATACACATGCTGTCATTATATTATTATCAATAATATCATGTATTCAAAAGCTTAATTGCTCTTGTAAATGATCGAGGCTGTTATAATCGGCAGTTCAATTAATTATCAACACCTATACGTTATACGAGAAGTATTAAAATTGATGAAACCAATAAGCACGCATCATGTTATTACTTATAAAATTTAGAATTGATTTTTAGCGAAAATATTAGAAGAGAGTCAATAATTTTCGAACCGTAAATGAAAACAAAGAACATAAATAAACAACAAAACAATTATTCTTTTTCAATTTAAAGCGAAAATTTTAATATCAGATAATTAAGATATCAGATTAAGATATCATTGTAATTTGCTAGAATAAAGTTGTAAAAAAAGTAAAAAAAATCAATATTTTCGCTAAAAAATCGGCGGTACGTTAAGATTCAATAACATCTCAGGTGTTTATTCTCTTTGGAAAATATGATTAAAAAGTAACACGTAATTAAAACTACTGCATCTCTTACGAAAATTACTCGCAAAAGATCGTTTTACATTCGCCCAGAGATATCAGAAGATACATGTCGACAATATTGAAATTAATCCCCCTTGTCTCGTATTCGAAATGTTCATTTCAACAAAGAATGTTTGTCGAGTTTGCGCGGAAGATCATTCGTAGTAATCTACATCAATCAAGTCAACCTCGAGAGACGAAAACGGCCGTCAATACGGTCTATTGAATATACGATATACCGAAGCGTTCGTCACTTCGTCAACGAGCTGCTGTCAGATCAGAAGGTGACACCGCGACGACTCGTCCATGTCGATCACGAACGTGAATAACGTCGACGAGCGTCGCACGTGTCACTCGTTGAATTTGCTGCGACTAAAGAACCGAATTGCACCGACAATCCATGTCGCTATTACATCTGCTTAGCGATTCCGACTCTATTTATTCCAGATCATACATCTATTACGTCGCATTACATCAGAAAGTGTCATGTGAATTATATCGTCGTTTCCTCCATCTATTTTTTTTTTTTTTCGTATTTCTTTTCAATTCTGGGTTCGATACTCAATATTGAATATTATCTCGTACATAACCTTGAAAGTTCAAACTTTCGTCAGGAATGAAAGGCGCGCTTGAGAATAAATCGAGCAAATCAAGTTTCGCGTTAAACATAACCTCACATTTTGAAATTTACGATCGGAAAAATCGCTGCTAACGCTCGATATACTTGGAGACGAAATCGATTCCGAATCTCTTGGAGAAAATATATAGACAGAGAAAAGGGCGTTTTACCGTACTTCGCGCGAACGAGGAGAGGCGAGAGACGATTCAGTCGAGCAGATTGCTCGGTGCAATCGGGGGAGAAGAGAGGGAGGAGGATATTCTATCTACCTACCTACTTTTCGCGCCGTAGCTCCATTTCATTCGTTCCTATTACCAGCAGCCACGACGCGACGCGCATTCACGGGAATACAGACACTATCGGGTCGACAACACCAGCCAACACTCGCGCGTCCGACACCCCGACCGGCAGCGGCGACGGCGACGGCACCACGAGAGGGAGGCGACGGCGGTGGCGACGAATCACTACTACCGACGTTTCGGTCCGCCGGCGTGCGCGACCGAGGAACAAAGCCGGGATGCAGAAAACGTTCATCTCCCCCGGCCGCCAGTAGAGCACTGTCAGGTGTCCTCGCGACGCGTACTGGCGTCGCGCTATCCCCACTCCAGCCCGCTCCACTCCCCACCCTACCCCACCCCGCCTCACCGCTGCCACCGCCGCGCAGCGGCGTACTTACACGTGTGTTACACACGTACGTGTGTGTATAGAGGACGATCTCTGAACGGTTAAACGTATACACATGGAACAACCGCGCAGTCGGAAACATACGACGGCATACGGTTTACATAAGAAGGGGAGTATACTACATATTAGATTCGGCTTTTTCGGGCGTTACTATAAGCTGAAAGATAGTAGATATTTTCAACGTTTATTTATTACGACGCGCAAGAGAGAAGGATCTCTCCTTTGGAATTCTATTTATTTACTTCTTTCTCTCGGAACGCTCCCTCGATTATGCATGTCCGATCGCTCTTTACGCTCGCGTGTATTGATAATTTTTTTGGAGAAATAATAAAATTGGTACATTCTAAACAAAATATCTTTATATCTCTCCAAAATTTTTAACATTTTAATGTTTATCAAAAAACATTATCATAAAAATGATGAATTTTTTTTGATAAATATTAAAATATTAAAAATTTTGGAGAGATATGAAGATATTTTTTTTTAGAATTTATCAATTTCATCAATTAAAATATTAAAAATTTTGGAGAAATATAAAGATTTTTTTTTAGACCGTAATACTCGATTTATCGAGATTATGTTTTTTCGCTATTCAAGTTTTCGCAAAAGATCTTCGTCAAGAGACCATAGCCCGTTTCCAAAGTCTTACATGATTCATACGAGAAGACTCGACTCGAGGTTCCTTAAAGCGGTAATCGCGGAAAAAAATGCACACGCGAAAGCGTTGTTCTTTGAAAAATAACCTGAAACTTTTACTCCATCTACGATGAACTGAGAACGCGAGGACGACTCATAATTGGCACACGATGTTGCGCTAGTAAGATTCTAGCACGCACTGACCTTGCTCTCGAAAAACGACACGGGATAATAATTGTGCAGCAGATGCGTATCGTATGCGTATTTGCGAGCGTTCGTTCTTATCGGAGCACTCTCTTCCAAGAGTTGCATTGATTTAGGATAACGCGGGAAGAAGAAGCACTTTTTTTTCCTTTCAAGAGAGTGCGTTTGCGCACATTAATCCCGGTAGATATTAAGGAGATTTCACCCTTATCCGGGCAATCTATTCTCGTAACGCGGTCGAGCGAGCAGAGTGCATCGGCCGACCTACAGTTATTCCAACATTTTTACATAAATAACGTTCGCGTTAATATTAAGGGTGCGGAGGGAGAAGTTTATTCGATCGTTTTATGCTTTTCAGCTTTAACTCGTCATATTTCTTAGATATTATTTAATGTTACTTGAATGAGTAAAAAGTAGATATATTTCGGGATCCGCGAGTAATCTTCTCGCTCATCTAAGGATGAAATTTAATGCAGTCTTAAGCTACGCTATGACTAACAGACGCTTTTTCCTCCGCCACACGATAATGAATGTTAAGGAGGCATTTTTCTCAGCATCGCGTGAAGTCTCTCGTAATGTGAAACTGTAAACGCTGCGGCTCTTTTGTTCAGTTTACATATAAATCGGGCTCTGAATTCATCTTTAGAATGCTAGAGGAAAGTATATTTTCTCGAATCCCTAAAGTTCCGTTTTAGAATGACGAAGTTTTCTAATTTAGTATGTTCCCTTTGTCTCTTTCTCTCTCTCAAAGTAAGACGCGATCTTAAGACGTTACATCTTGTTACATATGTACATCATCAACCCAGCGCTCGAAAACTTAATACTTTTACTCTACGACGCTTAATCCAATCGTTTACCTTATCTTCCAATTATATAGTTTGTTAGAAAAACTTTATATTGCTTGTGCGATATAATTGAACAAGTATAAAATCAAACAATACATAAAGAAAATCAACATCATGTGTCATTCATTGATAAAAAAATATTATGTCATGTATATTAATTTATTTTTACGAAGGAGATAACTTACAGTATTTAAAAAAAATTAATCATTTGATAGATTGATTCGTCTTGAATGATAATACATAATAATACATAATGATGTTCGATACTTCTCCAATGTACTTACCCTTGTAAATACTTAATTTCTGAGAGAAATTAAGATGTATCTCAATTTAATCGGATTATTTAATCTATACTATAACTAAAGTACGACAATACACAAAGCAAAATAGATTAGTTAAAGATTTCACTTTCAAAGTTTTCGTTTTCTTTCAATCACTCTGCAAAAAAAATTACAAAGACTGATACCACCCATATTAATCATGCTAAGTATTTTTCCTACATAATATTCTCATCCAAAGTCAACTTTTATCCCAAGTCTTCTCAAAAGGCGAGAAGGTTCATAAATTATCACGAGACAAGCTAATAATAGTATACTTTGGTAGATCCGAGGTAATTAAGATTCTTTTTTTACGATACGACTGTCGAATAAAGATCTTAATGCGATAAACACTCGGGGAGCGTAACCAAATATTACGTACGTACGAGAAAGGGTTCGTTATTGCAAGTCCCGCGCTTACGCGTATTTACATATCTTGAGATATATCAGAGATGCATAGAATAATGGAAGAATGGAATTAAGAGGCCAGCAATTAACATGAATCGTAAGATGAACGGAATAATATAACAAAGAATAATATAACGAGTATATACCCAGCGGCACGAAGAACGAACGAACGACGCCTTTTCGATTCTGAATCGCCAGCAAATGGCGCGGCCTTTCTCGTACGCGCGTACACGTGTATTCGCACGCTGTCATATCGTGGACTATGGCGTGCAATGTGTATGTCTCGCGAGTGAATCGAGGAGGGAATAAGGAGGGTGAGAGAACAAGACGCGGTGAGAAAGCGTCAATGGAACAAAGAGAAAAGCCAACCGTTCGCCGCAGGTTGGAAGAGGAAATCGTCGAGCAGCAATAATAACGCGCGCTCGAGCGATACAATGTTGGCGTACACTTTGGAGGAAGAGACGGGAAAATTTTTCGTGGCATCTCTTCGTTAATGAAAAATCAGCTCGCTCCGCTTCACTTATTGTATAATCATTTACGCGTAAATTTCAGCATTTGCGCGCCAACTCGTTTATCCAACAAATGCGTAATTTTTCGTTTTAGATCGTTTCACGAATATACGTTATCATATACGCGAGAGGCAAGTAAATTAATTATAACGAGCGGTGTACATTTACTACATGAAACGCGACCTGTGAGAGCTAGACCTAAATCATGTTGAATAAATGGAAAATGAAAGAGCACGATGTAATAGCTTTTCGAAGTATTTTTTTGGTTTTAAGATGGTTTTTAATAAATTTCTTATTATAATAGATATAGATATATAGACAATCTTATTGCATGTAAGAAGCAACTGAGAAATAAAGCGTAGAAACATGCAGTTGCGTTTGACTCACCGTGTTGATGAGGAGCTGAGAATGCTGAATGCCTGCGAGGTGACATGTTAGGATGATTACCCTGGCTACCTGGTGGCTGCATAGAAGATAATGCACCTAGTGGCGTGTAGGATTTGCAAGGCTGTTCCGTCTTTTGCTTAATAAGAACAGAGATAATAATATATTTATAATTATTATATTTTTAAATTAACAAAATTTTTAATCATACACTTTAAAATTAATAAAATTTTTAACTTGGATAGAAATTTAAATAAAGAAATTAATTGATAAAAAGATATAAATTTGAGTTGTTTAATATAATATTAATATGAAGCAATGTAATATTATTATGAAACACACAATATGAATGTAAAAATAGAAATACGCATATATATCTTTTTATGTACGAATTTAATAATTAAAATTTAAAATCAGTAAAATTTAAAATCAGTAAAATTTAAAATTATAATATTCAAGTTAAATATATTCACAATTAAAAATATGTAATAATATTTATATACATATTTTTTTAAAACATGCATGTATAATAAGCACTCTTAGAAGTTTTAATAATTTGTTAAGTAAAAAAAATATATAATAACTTATGAGAAATATGGCATAATAAACAAATGAAACATAACAATTTTAGTTTATATGTATATATATATATATATATATATATATATATACATATAAACATATATATATATACATATATATATACATATATATATATATATATACAAAACTTTTGTATGTTTATATATACATGTAAAATTTATATACATATAAATTTATATATACATATAAATTTTGTATGTTATATATACATATAAACATATATATATATACATATATATATACATATATATATATATATATATATATATATATACAAAACTTTTTTACGAATGTTTTTGATAAATCATAACTTTTAGTTTAAATGTGTAGGTGATGTAAAATAATATAATGTTATGTAATGTTTGTCTGACCAAATAAAAAGCAATCATGAATGAACACAAACCTGATCGTGAAGCTCAGTAGCCACTGCGGTAGCTGCAGTTTGAGTATGACTGGTAGAACTGATTCTATACTGCATACCAGCAATACTGCAAAAACCTTCGTGATGGGTGGATCGAGTTTGATTGACGTAAACACCTTGAAAAGAATTTGTTATCGCAATAAGAAGATCATTAGAATTTTCGCGCTTAAGCCACGCATGATTAATTACCAGTGATAGTGACGTCCGTGTCCTGATTAACGATGACAACTTTCTTGGATGGCTTAATAACCTCCTCCGGATCGGAGCCTTGTCTGGATTTCTTCTTATCTACGTCCAAGTCATTTTGTCTACGTCTTTTAATTATCTCTACTTCCGACTCACTGGAGGTATCACTGCTGCTGCTACCACAAAGATTTTTCTCATCGGAGTAGGAAGCAGCCAAAATGGCAGTGGCATTAAGACTGGCCATCCTCTTGCAAACAACCATGTCCTTCAGATCCATTACTTCTTCGTTTTTTTTCCTCCTTTTGGTCATTTTCTTCTTGCTTGGTTCAGCATTCTTTTCCTTCTCGCAGTCTTCATCTGAAGAAGAAGAAGACGACGAGCTCTCCAACATATCCCAGTGCTTGCCACGCAATCCTGGCACATTCCTCAATTTTCTTTTCAAAACGTTGTCCTCCGTTTTGCATTCGACTTTCTTCTCCTTCTCCTTACGCGGCTGCTCCTCCTTCTCCTCCTTCATTTTCTTCGGCTTTTCTTTTTCCTTCTCGGGTTTCGACTTGCAGAAACCTCCAAGATAGACTCCGCCGGTCTCATTTTCGTAGAGGCAGTGAACTTTAGCCAAGGCATTCAATGACGCGACCCTGGGTGGTTTTGGTTTACTCCAAAAGCCAAAAAGTCGCATTCCTCGCGTACGTTCGTCCGACGGTGAGTTGGCTCGATCTTTATTCTTGGCATCCTTTTGCTTACTTTTCTTATATTCATCGTCAAAATCGTCCTCCGAGTCAGATTGAGATGTAATGCCACTAGCACTCTCTCCATTCATCGCTTCGACTTTTAAATCTAATTCAACCGTGTTCTCGGCGCCGATTTGTTCCTGTTTCGCAGACTTTACGTTATCTTCGGAGACTTTAATGTGTTTATTAGATTCCTCGGAAGATACATCTTCAGATGAAGCTGATGTTTGATTATTGCTCTCCGTTTGTACCTTTATTGTTTTCCCTGCCTTTTTCGGAGTCTTGCTACTAATTTTGTTACCACTTTTGATAGCCTTCTTATTATCCTGTATTTTTGCTGGAAAACTCTCTTCTTTCCTTTTATCTGAATCCTCTACGATTTCACTTTTAATGCTACTTACTTCTGGCCCTTGAGAGGCTTCATCTTTGCTTGCAACCTTTTTATGTTCAGTTTCCTCAGATTCTTTCAATTCAATTTTCTTTCTTGCCATAATTTTCTCTGTTATAGCTTTCAATTTATCTTCCCTTTTTAAGACACTGATTTTTGAATGTTTTTGAGGCAATTTGGCTTTCATGTGTTTGGCCAACTTTGGTTTTTTTTCTTGTAAAATTTTGTTCTTGGCAATGTTACTATTTTTCTTCTTTGCTTTTTTAACCGCATCCTCATCTTCACTCATTTCTTCGCTTTTAATTGGTTTGACTAACTTAATTTTTTTATCCACCAATCTTTTAACTATCGATAAATGAGGCTTCTTTGTCAGAACTGTTTTTCTTGTAATACTTTTCTTCTGACTTTGTTTCGTTTTCGAATCTTTCTTTGTTTTAGCAGAAGAAAGTTTATTGCTCGCCGCATCCTTCTCGGAAATTTTCTTTCGATCAGATTTTTTATCTTTCGCGGTAGAATTTTTCGATATTGTCTTAGCATCGGATTTAACCAGTTTGCCATCTTTTTTCTTCTCATCTTTGCTTCTTTTTTTAGTAAGTGAAGGGAGGGCATCGATCTTATCTTCAAATGCATCTTTATTTTCCATTGTATTTAAAGATTTCACATTATCCTCCATATTTGTATTATCGTCGAATTTTATATTCTTCTTCTTTTCCTCCGTTTTTTCAACCTTCTTTTTATTATCAACAAATTGCTTCTCTAATTTCGCTTTCTCTTCACATTTTGATAATTTTTTCTTATCCACAGTCTCTTGATTTATTTCTTCGTTATTTGTTTTATCATCTCCTTTCTCTATTTTTCTTTCATCAATTTTGTCAGATTTCTTCTCATAATCTTTGATCAATTGTTTTTTCTTTTCATCTGGCTTATCGGATCGTTCCTTTCGTTTTTCTTCCATCTTCTTCTTGTCATCAAACTTTTTCCTATCTTCCACTTTTTCTAATTTCTTCTTATCATTGTCTATCTTCTTCTTTGGATCTCCCATTTTGTCATTTTTCTTTGATTTCTTCTCCTTCCTCACATCGGACATGGTCTTCTCTATAAATGTGCGACGTTTCTTGGCGACTGTTGGCATTTTAGTTGCCTTTCTGGCAACAACAGCCTTCTTCTGTGGCTTCATTATGACTGTTTTTTTCTTTACATCTTCAAAATAAATAAATATACTCGAAATTCACGAATGTCCAGTTTTAATTTCCACAACTACCTAACTGCCATTGTGGATTTTAATAATTGCGATACGGCTCGCGAGCTGGATTTATCTGTAAACAATTCCAATGCAAATAACACATCTCGATCAAACAGTATATAAACGCGATTATTATTTATATCGTAATTTCACAAATATTTTGTCAGCTATTAACCGTTATCGCGTCTCTTTGTCGCAATATACATGGCTTTTTTATATCGCGGTAAAAACGGATATTTTTTCCACAAAAACGGACACAATATCGAGAGGATATTCACGGGCAGAATATTACGAACGCTACGTGTTTTATCAATCTGTAATAAAAAACGAAACGATGTACAATAAAACGACAAGTGCACGCAAATCGGAGCATTCGCGAGAGACGCGCGCGACGGAAACGGTGATAAAAGTATCCGAGCGAGGCGAGAATCCGTCGTAATGTGTGCCGGAACTGTGCGCGCACTCTCTCATCGACTTGTTGACAAATCGATCCCTTTAAATCTCATTGCGCCCGTCGCGATTCGGCTCTCCGCAGGACTCCGTACGTAGGATTCCAGGAGAAATAAATAATCGAGACGCGACGCGACGCGACGCGACGTCCGTCACTCTCCTCGATTTTTCTCCCCGAGCCGTGCGTCCTCGTTTTCCGAACGTGCACGCGACGACAAAGATGCGGCGCACACGACGTAGGACGTGAAAACGCGAACGGGAGTCGAAAAGTCGCCGAGCGCAACGGTAACGACAGCAGCACGCCCTTTAAACAACGACCGCTGGCCGACGGCCACAAGTGGCCCTGACAAGTGCGCGCGAGCGAGAGCGAGTGCGAGAGCGAGAGAACCCACCAACCTGCTGATCGATCAATCGTCGTCGCACGCGGAGAATCTCACGGACGGCGATCGCGCGGCGCGACGCGGCGACGCGATCGCGACGACGACGCTTAGCAACGCGGGAACGAGGCAGGATGGATGCCGATAAGAGGCAGACGGAGGCAGGCGGAGGCGCCAGTAACGAGATCGAGTGTTTACCTCTCCGGCGAGCCCTCCCCGGTCGGCTAAACTCGGCCCGCGAGCGCTTTTTTCAAACGGCGGAGTCGGAGCAGCGACGAGCGATCGACGACAGGTGACGGCGGACGACGACGGGCTTCGGAGTCCTGTCTCGTCTGTGCGGCTCTCACGCGCGACCGCGAGGCGAGCGACGTCGTGGGGCCCTCCCCGGCGCAAACTTGCACGGCCCTTTTTCGCGCGGTCTATCGCCAAACTGGCAATCTCGTGTCGCGCAACGCGCACCTCGCACGACGTCCCTGCCCTTTTACCGTAGCCTCGTCGGCCATTTTCTTCCTCGCGCCGCTCCCCCACTTTTCCCACTCCGAAGCCCTCTGTCACGTAGTGCCGGAAGCGCGAGTCTCCGATCCGAGGCAGATGACAGCACCTCGCGGCTCGGCGCATCGTCGCGCGCGACCGCGACAATTTTCCGCGAATGTCATTCTGCGTTGCGGCATATTGTTTTAGCCTAATATTACATTTGTCGAATCTCGTCAAATATGCGAATTTCATCCATTTTTTGCACGCTAGGATGACTTTGATGTCGATTGAGGCGATTTGTCTTCATTTAATTAAAATATTCTTTGCGTTATTTAAATGAAATATTCAATTTATCTCTATTTTGGTATAGTCAAATAATTTTGATGAGACGAGAAAGATCGATGATAAAATTTTTCTTACCAAAATCGATGTACAAAAATGCCGGGAAAATGATACGATCGCCAGCCTTGCATATCTATCGATTATTGTTCAACTGCAGAAAATGCACTTTTGATACACTTTGGTTAGAAAAGGAAACTAGGTGGAGAGAAATTCGATCGATTTTCGACGAATGAAAACGGATTATCGAAATCGCGAATAATATGGCGATTGTGCATCATATTTAGCGTATCACAATTGTTCATTCGACATCGGACGAGAGACACTCGCGAAAATATTTCGGCGCTCGAAACTTTTTTCAGGCAACTATAATCGCGGAAAGTAAAGAGAGCGATTTGAATATAACTGCGCGACAGCCTTCACTGACCATTCGAATTTTATCGAACTGAGCGCGATATTCAAACTATTACGATTTTCAAAGTATCGAAATGATCGAAACAGCAAATCAATTGGAGTAATTACTTCTAATATAACGACAAAATTTGAAATATATTTATACAGCATATATAAAAATAGACACAATGCATTAATTCATTAATATTATTGTACGAATTAATATAAATAATTATTTATTATAATTTTCAATAATATCAAAGATAAAATATCAAATCGCAACGTATGCGATGTGATAAATCTTTCTGATTTTTATAACTATAGCGGTACTTACTTAATATTGCAAACGATAGTGTCCAATACTTTCTCGTTGGATTTCTTTTTCAGACAGACGAATCTTAATTAATCGATATGATACAGTATCAAACGCAAAAATGGTATTCAGCAGTGCTTCGATGGCGAGCTTTCGATAAATTAAATATTAAACTAGGGAAATTCAAGCTATCACCGGCCATGATTCCAAATACCAACTTTACGTTTTTAGAGACAAATTGTACGATAATATTGGCTACGTCCAACGATTTCAGAAATATTCAGCGGTGTTCGGAGCAGACGGAGCATGAATGTATATTGTGTTTGTTTGTTTAGATTTTTGCAGTAACAATGGAATGTGTAGTGGCAAACGTCGAACACATGAGATTTGACATTGAAATTGCTCTTGACGAGCAGTATGGAGCTCTTCCGTTACCTTTTACCGGCATGGACAGTACGTCCTCTTATGTTTGTTTTCATATGGTGGATTATGTTAGGTTAAGTTTGCGCACAGTATAATATTGTCATATTTGATTATTTTTTTGTGTCCTTCACTTCAACTGTATAAAAACAGACGGTATGATTTTTGTCAACAATATTGTATTAATATATAATGACAGTTTTATAGTTTATTTATAATTTTTTTTCAATGATACTCTCCAATAGAATCTTTGAGTATTTAGCATTGGAGTTGCTCTCATATGTGATTTAGGCTTTATATAAATATATAAAAGGAGATAATATTATATTCGACAACTAATTTCAATATTTACTAATTAATCGTATAATAAAAATTTAATTTTAGAACATTATATAGAAATATGCAATTTTAGAAATGTGTGTAATTTGAAAAGTAAATAATGATTTTTACTCTCTTTTAATAGAATTAGAATAAACTCTAAATTTGCTAAAGTATATTATTTTTCGTTGATCATATTTTCTATAATTGTATAATTCCTGCTCTACTTTTAATTTTTATGAGTTATTAAACCTCTATAAATTATATTTGGTAGCTTATGTTTACTACTGTAGAAAATATATAATGCAATATTTTTATAAGACAGATGTATTATATATTGAACATTTTATATATCTATAAAACTATTAATATAAATAATTTCCTTCCCACCAACTTGCAGAATCAATTGCTGCGGTTTGTCAATTTTATCCAAGAGGTACCTGCAGTAAAGGAGCATCATGTCCTTTTAGACATGTTCGTGGTGATCGCACAATAGTATGTAAACATTGGTTAAGAGGTCTTTGTAAAAAGGGTGATCAATGTGAATTTCTGCACGAATATGACATGACAAAAATGCCGGAATGTTATTTTTATTCTAGATTTAGTAAGTAGCCTAATAAAAGTATTAATTATCATTATTTACAAGACTAAAAATTTTCCCTCCTTGTGAACATGTACTTTATATGCAAGAATTCAATATATAATGATTCTTTTGTATAATATTTAATGTGTATTTTAACTATGTAACATAATTAAATTATATTTATACAGTTAAAATTAATTATAGATGCATGTCACAATAAGGAATGTCCATTCTTACACATTGACCCTGAGACAAAAGTCAGAGATTGTCCATGGTACGATCGTGGTTTTTGTAGGCATGGTCCTTTATGCAGACATCGACATGTCAGACGAGTTCTTTGTATGGCTTATTTGGCTGGTTTTTGTCCAGAAGGACCAAATTGCAAATTCATGCAGTAAGTTTATTAAAATGCAAGTATCCATTATGTTGAAATATATTCGAGATCTCTACATTTTAATATCTGTGTTTAGTCCAAGATTTGAATTACCAGCGGTACAAGATATGCAACCAAAGGAAGGTAAAAAGGTGATGATCACCTGTCATTTCTGTGGAGAGGGCGGTCACAAGGCAATTTATTGCAATAAAATGCCGCCCGACGTACGAGAAGCTCAAGTCAGGCAAGATATTGATAATAATTCTCACACATCGCATCATCATATGAATATGCATAATGGACCGCCGCCACCGCGAGGACCACAAAAGCCGCTCGAAGAGGTGACGTGTTACAAGTGTGGACAGAAAGGTCATTATGCCAATAAATGTCCAAAAGGACATTTAGCGTTTTTGAGTCATGCGGGTAATGGAAGTGGCGGTCAAAATCAGAATTATCGTAGGTGATTTTCTTTGTTTTATTTATGTAACATGAATCTTGTGATGCTATTTTATTTCATTATTATCTATCAAAATTTATGTTTCATATACAATAAAATAATTTGATATCTAATACATGTCGAGATATATCATCACTCTTATATCATTTCACTAACAATTTTCAACACAAAAAAACATTTTGATGTGTTTTTTTTTTCTCGTTAAATATGAATAGCACCAATATTTAAAACGTTTAATATAAAAAAAATTAAAAAGCAATTTTTTTTTATATATATAAATAGAGACATTTTAATACTAAATTTCTTTTGTTATTAAATTATAACAAATTGAAATATTTGTTTTAAAAATGATATATGTCTGAATAACTAGTTATTACAATTTTGTATGACACAGTTCTGTGGACATTATAAGGTTCTTAGTTATTGCTACATCGGCATCTACAGGTATTATAAAAAGATATATATTTATGTAATATCGATTAATTATCGGATAAAAGCTGTATGACCCGCTCGGAAGACATACACTCTATGTCGATGGATAATTAACATTTTAATCAAATATAAGGTTTTACTAATTGAAAGATCAACTGTGTATACTTCTCGGATAAATATCTTACGATTAAACAATGATATGGAAGGCGCAAAACATTGTGGAAACATTTCTCAATTGCTATCAAATATGCTAAGCGCATTTGTCACAAAAATGTTCTCTAGTCATTATCATATGACATGGTTTATATTTAAAGACATAGTTGTAATCATCAAGGATAGGATTGCGTATTAATTTTTCCAAACGGATAATTATGAAGAGAAGAAAAGAACGAAAAAGAATTTCTCATTCATTTCTTTTAAAGTTATTGTTCTATCATGTTGTGGTATAGTCAATGACTTCAACATAATTAGCAGGAAAGAGTCCATAAGTCCCATCAGGCCCAAGCCCTTGCCACCAACCTTCATCGATAGCGTCTATATGCGTAATTATATCTCCAGGATCAAAAGTGATTTCCGTATCATCAGCTGCTTGATAATCGTATAAAGCTCTGGCTTTCATTCCCTCGTTATTCGGATCGAAATATAAATACGGGCCATCGAACTGATTGTACAATTCATTTTCAGTGACTTGTTCCTTAGTTTCTATTGGTTGTTCGGATTGCGATTGTAAATTCTTCACTGTTGTTTTCGATTCCTGATTAGCGTTTTGAGATTGAGGCACTGCAGATGATGAAGTTGTCACTGTCTCCACATTTGTAAGTTTTGTCTCTTCGACCGATGTTTCCTCGCAAGATTTTACAGGCTCCTTTATCTGAGTGTCTTCTAATGCTTTTCTCACAGACTCTACGTGATTGTTTTTAGGTAAAAATTGTTGAATAGGACTTGTTTTCATTTGACCAGCCGCCGAGTTCTGTTCAAATACCGCTCTAGCATTTATTGTTCTTTGAGCTATCAATTGTTGCGTCTCTTTGGTCCTCTGTCTTCGTAGCTCTTCGCTTCGTGATTTATGATCATCCTCGACATCATTGTTATAATTTTGTGCAGCTAATTGATTGCGTAAGTTATTCGCCTCCTCGGCACGTTGTTCGGCCAACTTTTGCCGCGCGATCGAATTTTCTTTAGCGGTTACCTAATAGAAGTAATTTTTCATGAGATATGGCACATTGGTATATCTAAGATGTATATGATATATGAACAAAAAACACGAGATTAAATTAAGGAACATACTTGTTGCTCTCTCAGTTGTGCTTCTTTTTCTTCTCGAGCTCTAACTTCTTTCTCTAACTTTTGTCGTTCTTGTTCGCAACGTAATCGTTCTTGTTCCAGTCTCTTTTTCTCTTCCATTTCTTCCTTTTGCCAAAATTGATCTCTTTCTGTTGCGTTTATCTCTTGTTCAGGGATTACTCTATAAAGTATATATTAGGGATTGTATTTTACAAACTATGATATTACTTTTTTAAAACTGAGATTATACACACTTAGCATCTTAAACTAATATAAATAATATAAAATATAAATATGAAAAAGAATGAAAAATATACCGGCGATATGTTGTTCCGATAGGACCTGCATGTCCTTCATTTTCACCACGAGGTTCATTAAATTTATATGCAGAGGCTGTTGCTCGTGCAAGTTTTGCCATAATTGTATCTACCTCTACATCATCTTCTGAACGTGCAGTAATTGTTATATGTGCACCCTTCAATAATTTCTCTACATCTCTAATATGATTAGCACATGTTCCTTTCCTAACAATTGGAGCACCTTCTCCTTGCTGTAAAAAGCATGACATAAAAGCTTTATATTTCTTTTGTTATAAAAAATGAAAAATATAAAATTAGATTATTTCATTACATAAATTATATTTTATTTTTCGTTATATATCTTTTACATTATATTTTGTTAGTTTTTGTTATGATTATATTAATTCTCTTTATACTTACCCAATTAATAAGCAAATATTTTGGTAGACTTGTTTTAGTATCAATGACTTTGCAAAATGCATACATAATATGACAGCTATTCAATCGATCAATCATTTCTTCCAATCCTCCATTTCCTGTTCCAACTACTTTTAGATCATTTGTCTGCCCTTCATAATCGAACAAAGCCCTGTAAAGAATAAAAATTTTAATTAATCAATCTTGCAATATATTTTATCAAATAATAATTGTATAAGATTCATCTTGTCGTCAAATTATGAGAATTTATGAGAAATTAGCTATCAATCATGCAATTATAAACTAAGTATATATTATATACTTTGTGAACAATCAAATAATCACAGTTTCAATCATAACTAATCTTTTATTTATAAAAGTGATTATACATTCTATATTATTAAATTGTGTATATTATTAAAAAAGAGAAATATATAAAATAACGTATAGTTTTCACTTGGTAACAATTATATCAAAACAATAACAAAGAAATTATATTATCAATTTTTATCGCTATACGATAGAGAGCGAGCGTTAAAGAAATCGATAAGAATAAAAGTGCTTATCATGAAGGGACCGAACGTTTACGAAACAAGTATTTGCTGAGAATCCATACAAATTTTACGATTACAGAGGTATTACAGAGTTGGATACAAGAAAATACGCAACGTATTAATATTTTATTGACAGAAAAGGCATCATGCACGTACCAGTTAGTGGACGATTTATCATCGACCACGCTGTGCCAAGCGGCCGTCAAGGCATCTTTGTTTTTCGTCAGATTAATTGACATGTCTCTGGCTAAATTAATTCATAACAAAATTCAGGTAAATTTATAACAAGGGAGGGCAATGTGGTGTGATACCGCAAAACTACGCAAATATCACACGCGCATATCACTTAGCCGATCGCCTCTTCGACTAATGTCAACGCCCTATCAATGGCCAATCGTTTATATCATAATATCCCTAGAAATTTCCATCTCACTTTTTTCCGCGAGAACATGCGTTCGAAAATCTACTCATCGACAGATTAACATTTTAGCCAATTGGAACAAAGGAATCTTTGTTCCTTTATCCTGATTGGATAATCAGGATAAAACGCTATTCTACTCCGACAAGTAGATTTCCCAGAAGGATGCATCGGTTAAATTTATACGCGAAATTAAATTACGATTATTTAATTGTACTCTCTTGTATCATTTTGACGAAAATTAATAGCAGAAACCAATTTAACTTTTGCTAAAGAGCGGGCCGTTTGTTCCTTCCGAAGAGATAGGAGTAGGAGAACTTTTTTTTTTTCAAACAGAAACCGATTGGTATCACTGCGCTGCCATGTTCGCGTGCCGCTCTGTATTCGGCGTTCGACTGAAATTCTCGACTTTCAATTGCGTTTCCTGCATGTATCTCGTGTCTTCGGCCATAGAAGATTGTGCATAAGCTTCGTCATGAGTACTGACAGTATCGAAAAATTATATAAAAACTTTGGCATCCTCGCGGATGCCAAGGATAAATTGGTGCAGGTACGTGGTTGGTTATATCTTGCCTATCGTGATTAACCAAGTCGGTTAAATATAGCTGAGGAGAAGCTTGACCGGTATCTTCTTGTTTGCACATTCCTTCTCTCATGTAATAGCTGATAAATATTGTTCACGCATCAAGTCGTTCTCGCTTCATGAAATAGCAATATGCATCTCGAAATATCGAAGATGTGCGTGGCGTCTTAATGTGCTGTATTTTCACATTGTATAATATGAATCATTGTGAAATTATTTTGTCTATGACCATACTTGATAAAAATCCCATAATGGATAAATTTATGCACATATCGGAGCACATGCATTTCTAATATATATTTAAATATTACTAAATTCATGTGTTAATCATTTCTATCTTCTTATATATTATGAATCCTTATGTTACAAAAATTTATTATAATGATAACTTGCCGATATAATGAATCACTATATCTACTGGTAATTTTCTAGAAAATTCTTAGAAATTTTCAAATATAGTAACTAATTTATCTCAATTTATGGTAATTTTTATAAGTACATTTATATGATATGATATAAAAGTGGAAAGATGCTGTATGTCGGATCTATATAGAAACAAATAATACTCTTGGAATAGAGTAGGATTTTACGATTCTGTACAGTGCTAATGATTTTTATTTAATTTCATCATCGTGAGATTTATAATTTTTTTATTTATAATTTTCGGGAACAGCTTCATATTTAGATAATAACAGAAAATTTTCTCAAATTTTTACACAATTAGAAAATATTAAATTATTATATTAATATTCATTTTAGAGAATATTAAAAGTGAATTTACATTAAATATCTTTATAACACATCAGAAAAACTGTTGTATTTTTTATAAATTATTTTCTATATCATTGTTTATGTTACAGCACGAAAAAGAATATTTGGAAATTTTAACAGCAGTTAAAGGATCACCCAAAGAAAAACGGCTAGCATCGCAATTTATTGCAAGGTTCTTCAAGCATTTCCCAAAACTAGCAGATCAAGCTATAGATGCACAGTTGGATTTATGTGAAGATGAAGATATGGCTGTAAGTTTACAAATATGAGTTGACTCTTTATATTTCATTCATTTTTTTGAATAAATGTTTCCAAGCTTTAATGTAACAACTAATCACTAATTAACTTCAAAATAATTAATTACATAATATATTTTTGTTTTCCTCTTACAGATTCGAAAACAAGCCATTAAAGATTTACCAGCTCTTTGTAAAGATAATAAGGAACATACAGCAAGAATTGCAGATATCTTAGCGCAATTATTACAAGCTGAGGACTCTTCGGAATTATCAGTTGTACATAACAGTATTATGTCGCTTATGAAGAGTGATCCAAAAGGTATGCTCAAAGCCATAAACACATATAAAGATTGGTATATTTATAATGTCATATGACTAAAATAACTCTGTGATTGTAGGTACTTTAAGTGGATTTTTCAGTCAAATTATTAATGGTGATGATGGAACGAGAGAACGTTGTATAAAATTTTTAGCTACCAAACTGAAAGCAATAGGACACGACGTTATTACAAAGGAACCAGAAGATTTATTGATTGGAGAATGTAAAAAAGTATTACAGGTAAACTTCTGTTATATTATAGCTCTTATATTATAATAAATGTTTACTTTATGTTTATTTATTTTTTTTAATTGATATATTTTCTCAGGATGTAACTGCTGATGAATTCCACAGTATCATGGAAATTCTTGCTTGGACTAGACTAGGATCTACTGTTACTGGTCAACAAGAATTAATTGATATTACAATAGAACAAGCAGAACTGTCTGTACCTTTTAAACATACTAATGTTGAACAGTGGAATAGATTGGTTCAATGTATTAAACATGCTCTTCCATTTTTTAGCGTATGTACATATTTGATACATTTAAATATATCTTAGAACAAGATTGAATGTTTTACATATTTTTTTGTGCATAATTATTGTTTTATATTTATATATTTCTGTTTTGTTTTCAGTCACAGATAGATTCGTCAAAATTTGTTTCATACATTTGTGTGCAAGTCCTACCACATCTCTCTTTGATGACTTCTCCTGATGGTAGAGACATTCAATTGGAACTATTAAAATTACTTGCTGAATTAACAGTGTTTTGTGGAAGTATTGATAAACCTGAAGACAAAGTTCAACAACTTTATAACACTCTCATTGTGAGTAATATGTTCCTGTTCATATTTTATATTCTACAAATCTGATATTCTTTTTATTCTGTTGATATAATGATGTCTAATGTTTTTATCTTGTGTATCAAAATTACCATTATATTTATTATTATTTTATATATATTTTAGACTTATATGCCACTTCCTCCAGCTACAGAGATTACTGATGTACCAAAGTTACAATTTAGTCATGTAGAATGTTTGATGTATGCTTTTCATAAATTGTGTAAGCAAACTCCTGAATTTCTGATAAAAGATCCAGAACAGCTTAAAGAATTCCGTTTAAGATTACAATATTTTGCAAGAGGTATCCAAGGTTATATAAAAAAATTACGTGAAGCTATTAGTGGCAAAACAGAAGAGGAATTAAAATCTGAGGAAAATCAATTAAAGGTTGTTGCATTAAAAACAACTAATAACATCAATACTTTAATCAAAGACTTATTTCATTCACCTCCTAGTTTTAAGAGTATAATACATCTTTCATGGAAAACACCTTGCAATGATAAGAAGGTAATGAATTTTCATAAGCATTTTAACTAATTTGTATATAATTTACACATTTGTGGACATTTTATACAATATTTTAATTTTATTATGTCTGTTTTAGAATGAAAAAAATTCTGCTCAGAAAAGACATACACCAATTACATTTGGAAATGATAATGGTTCGAATAAGCGTAGTAAGGAAGATAAAAGTAATAAGAGAGAAATATATACACCTCCAAGTGGCAAATACAGCTCAAACATATCGAATTATGGTATATAAGTAGTTAAAGATACATGATATTAAAATTTGATGTAAAAAATATATATATATATATATATATATATATATATATATATGTATATGTATATGTATGCATATATGCAAGATAAATGTTAATTTAGTAATCATTTTTTTTTAATTTCTAGGTCGCGGTAGATTTAAAGGTAATAGATTTGGAGGAAGAGGTGGATTCAGATCAAGAGCTCGTGGTTCATGGCGAAAGAATTTTTATTAATTAAAACTAAAATTCACAACTAAAAGCAGAAAGTCGGATACAGCTAAGATTGAAATGATGACAAATGCTGATCTATCTTGAGATTAAACATGAAAGTATTTTCAAAAAAAGTGACATTACAAAAACCACTTTTCTTATTCTCTATGATTATAAGTGTCATCAAAATGATTTTGTCATTTTCTAAACTCTGATAAATTGCAAATAAGTAACAAAAAGAGGAAGATTAATAATTTTCCAAATTTTTAATGTTTTCCAAACATTGAGAAAAAGTTGCAAAAAAAAATGCAATTATCATAACATAAACTTTTTGTCTAATTCTTATAATCTATAAATTATACAGTAAAAATCCAAGACATATATAAAGTTGTGAAAAAAAATGAATATGTGCAAAGAGTATACACTGACAATGTATCAAAATTAAAAGAGAATATTATATAATTATAGTACAGAATGATTAAATGATGGAGATGATGGTGAAATTATCTATGTATTAGAAAAGGAAGAAAGAAGAAATTGCAAAATATGAAACTCGTCAAGATGATACATGAGAAAATTGAAGCAAACCTTGATGAAGATGCATATTCAAAATTCAAACTACATCAAGACATTGTGAGACATCATCGATAGTGACGCATATGAATGGATAAATGCAGACATTATGGATAGAGAAGCATATGAAAATGGACTTGCACTATTCTTTCTTCATCAAAAAAACTTCGAGTGCAAAAAAATTTAATCTCCTATATATCCATTCCTAACTTAGCTTCCCTATCCTTTCTAACTTTTATATTTGTTGATGTTTGTCAACAGGATCAATGCGTAACAAGGAGAACTTACAAGCAGTGGTGCATAAAAGCAATTTAATCGAAGAAACATCAGATATAATTATTTATTAATAAAAACAAAAATACTTATATACAATTTTTTCAGTAAACGACATAAATTTAATGAATAATATATATTTCTGTAAATTTAATGAATAATATTTTTTTGTATATTTTCTATATTTTTATATATATGTAAATATATTACTTTTTTGAATATATTATATAAAATCTAAAGTTCTCTCATATACACACACATATATGTATGAATATTATATATATTTTCAATTAAGATTCTAATCTCGTTGAATCTGTGTTTCTTCGATAAATAAGAGGAGGAATTGAAGCAGCAATTATTATGTTGTTTTTCTTTTGCAGGAAACATATACCAACAAGAAACTTGGAAAACGTCGATTGGACCAGAGCTGAAAAATTATATATATATATTTATATATTGTGTGTTTCTTTTTCATTACAGAAATTTTTCAAGAAAAGATAGATGCTGAAACAGAGATCACTTGGAGAAGCTAATTGATATTTTTTCTATTTCAGCAACTAATTATATGTTTATTATTACATATATATATCTTCTTGGTATAATTGCTGTTTGTGAGGTGAGTCTCAAAAAAATATTATTCCATCTTTTCCTTCCCTCTATCCATGATCATTGTGTAAAAACGTTTGCGTTATCAACAATTCGTCAATGTTTTTAATTATTTCAATAAATAACATTATTTAATACTAAGTGGTGTTTTTTTATCCAGTAAATACAAGAGGTGAGAAAATAAGGCTAGAAAACAAGATTTAATAAAAATACATTTGATTTTAAGAGCAAACAGGTAAACATCTATATGTATATATATTATTTATATTTATATAAATAATTAATAATATTTATATAATTTATTCTACATACATTTAAGATTTTATATTGCATTAATATAAAAACTTCGTAAATAATTACATATTATTTGTATTAAATACAATTGGACTTGCACAATCATAATAATTTCAATCTTATTGTATTACAAGTATCATAAGTATTTCAATTTTACTAGAATATATGTGAATGATTATTTGAGTTATATATAATTGATTACTTCTGTATTACTAATGTATAAATAATAAAATGTTAATTTTAAAGCAATTTGGAGCAGTTTATAAATAAAGCAACAAAGGAATAAGGTAAAAAATGCGCTTCAAGCATTATTTTATTAATATTTTCTATTGATCTAATGATTTTTTGAGAAAAAAATAGAATAATTCTAAATTCTATATTTCAAAATTAACAGATTATTCTTAAAACTAATTCTCAATTTAACCTAATTTTTAAATAATTAATCCTAGCATTTATATATATGTAAATACATAAATAATATTAAAAAAGATCACATTTTATTCTTGTATCACCATTGTAATTTTTATATGTATATATGTAAAATTATTATATTGTATTCATTGATAAATTAATTGATATTCAAAATAGTCCATTCGAAGAAATCATATCATCTATCACTTTGCACATAATACGGTCACTTGGACTGCATGGATCCTGAGTTTGTTGTTTAAAACCCATGTTGTCAACAGATTCCATAACATCTGTATTTATTGCAAGTTTAGAGTCTAGTTCTGAAGTATCGGGAAGCATCTGTAAGGCATGTTGCAATATTTCTTGAACCTAGAATAACATCATATTCGATAAGAAACAGAAATCATCAATATGTAGAAATTAAAAATGCCAATAATAAATATACTTTTTCAAGATGTTTTTGGAAACGCAATGCTGTTTCAAGACGTTGTCTACGTTGTAATTCCATCATAACTCGTAATGTTTCTCTGGCCTGATGCGGTCTAAATTCGTTCAACAGATGATGGATATGGATGAATAACAAACTCAAATCTTCGACCTATAAAAGTATCAATAATTGTTATAGAGAATATTACAATTTTTCTCATCAAAGTCAAAATGTCAGACATAGCATTAACAAAAGCTCATTCAAATTACAGATACATTACCTTCTCGGCGCGTCTGGGACTGTCGGGACATTGGACAAGCAAATCTATCAAGTCCAAGAAATTTACGAGCAGAGAATGATTGAGCTTCTTCAATTCACGTCGTCGGTCAAAGTGTTGCGGGTACAGTCTTTTGATTCCTTGAGCCTCCAACGGCCTGATAATCGTGTCATCCGCATTAAACACGTTACCGAACATAGAGTAGCTATCGTGTATCGGCGGCGGTGGTCGCGGGGCTCTTCCACGACGAACATTCTCGTCCGTGTACAAATTGATATATTGAACGGGCGGTAATGGGAGGGAACTGACTTGTATCGCTTCGGGCGCTGCCATGTCTCAATATCTCAGTGTCTCGGCAACGAACCGATCACATGAATCGACGATGAACGGAATCCTCTCGTCGACGCAAGAGACGAGATTTCAAACAAGTGGATAGGTTAGTTCGTGTCCCATAAACACATAACCGAGATCATACTCTCTCGATACTGATCGAAGGAAGCAAAGCAAATTTCCTTGGATCGTTTAAATCAACGCTGAAAAAATGTTATTCCTCCGTGTTATGTTTATATACGACAATCCGCATAAACGGCTTCCAAGAAAAACAAAGCGATAGACAGCGACAATTCTAGTCAGCCATTTTGTCACACCACGTGACCGTTCAGACCACGTGAGTCGACGAGCTTCCCGCACGTCGTTTCCACGAGCCCAGGAAAATCGGAGATTACGAGATTTTCATCAATTTTTGTTTACTCAAGACGACGTGGTCGGCACGTCCAAGTGTCAGTCGGGATTATCGTTTGACGTTTCTCGCGCACGCGTTCCTTTATTCGCGGGCGGGCACGGATTGTCACGTTGATCAGCGTAGTCAGGCATTTCCTGATATCTCGCGAATTCCCGACGTCGCCGCGAGACGTCTTCGTTTGACAGATTGTCGGTGTGTGTATATGCGTACGTTCCACGTGAATTCTTTGTTTGGGCGCCGGTCATGCTTTTGACAAGTGTCGGGATTGCGTGGTGCTAGCGCATATCTGTTGCATGGTAAGAGCGAGATTTCGATCGAGAATGTTGGAGACGGCGACCGATAAAGACCGCTGGGTCGCTGGACCTCGCGTCTCGCGTGCGTAGAATTCGAATTATCGAAACGTTACGGGCTATAACCGCGCATATACGTGTGTCCTCGCGCTGCCTGCGTACACGCACCTCTCTCGGTGCGTTGACACTTTGGAGATTTTGGGCAACGTTCGCTCGCGTTCTTTGCATTTCCGTCTCGTTATACGCGGGAGTACCGGTCACTCGGCGTTCACGATGCGGGCAATAATTGCTCGGTAATCGACACGTGAGTTGAATTATAGGAGGCAGGAAGCGGGTTGGAGAACGAGGAAAAAATTCCAGTGTGCTATATTTAGAGATTCGTTTGCGTTCCCTGTCACTTCGGATATAGACCGGATACACCCGAGATAAACCAAAATACGGAGGAATTGAATAAAATATAATTCTAATATAATTTTTTTTTTTTAATAATGTAAAAGTGTTAAATTGCGTGCAATAAGTATCAGTTCTAATTCTATGCTCAGAATGTGCAATATTTAATATTAAAGATATTTAATTTCTAATGCAGATCTATTACAATGTAAAAAAATGATATTTTTATTGTTGCTAGGGAGGCCCTCCCTCTGTGATGGCAGGGAAGGATGGAAAGCTGGAGTCAAAAGGTGGAGATGTTATTCGTCAAGGATTTATGATAAAACGTTCCCAAAACAAGAAACGCTTCACTCCAGTCAATTACAAGCAACGATGGTTTGTGCTGACAAAACATTATCTTATTTACTACGATGGAGATGGAGAGGTGAGTAATTTTCAATATAATATCTAAATTTATAATATCTAAATTTTATTTTCTATAATAAGAGAGAGATTAAATAAAATATGATTAGATAAATGAGAGATTAAATAAAATATGATGTGTGAATCTTTCTTTCTCTATGATCGATTTAGTTCTTATATCATTCATATGGCAATAATAGCTAATTCAATTTTAGTAAGCTTATTATCTTTAGAACAATATTTTATTCCTCTTATAAAATTTAATTATTCTTGTTTTATCTTGAAGAATTGCTATTGCTACGAGCTAAGCTTGCTATTGCTAAGAGAAATTATAATAAATAATACTCAAAAAATAATACTCAAAAAAATTGAAAAAATATTGTTAATAATAAATTATAATTAAATATAAATCATATGGATAATCACTAAATACAAAGAATAATTAAAATACATTGCAACCTTTTCAATTATTATTTTTAATTATACCATTGCATTCATATATTACATTTCTAATTATAATAATAATGAGAATAATTATTTCCTCATTAAACATTAGAAACATCTATTTCGAAATTTTTTTGGTTCACAATAACACAAAATTTAATATTATTAATTTATATTTAATATTATTAATTTCTCTTTTGAATAAAATAATAGTTTTTTAAATTAAAAGATAAAAAAATTTGAGAGAGATATAAAGTGACTTACCTTATTATTAATCTTTTAATTAGTTTCTTAAATTTATATTAATTACATATTAATTACTACGATTAATTTATATAATTATGTTCATCCCAATGTAGATTTCATCAGAGAATAGCGGACGTCAATTCCGTTTTTGTCGCAATGGTCCCCTCGATCTTCTAGCGACGAGCAGAGTGATAATCGGTAACTATCGGTTCGGTAACTGCGCGCGGTCGCGACTAGTAGTCCAATAGCTACCTCCGTAGCCAAGCGAGCTGTCAGGAAGGTGGACCGGGCTGCTTTCGATAGAGGGTTGGCGGATAACATGCACCATGATATCGTGTGTAAAATTACTGGCGCAGGCGCCCGGCGTGAATTCTCCATCCTACCTCCTCCTCCTACTCTTCATCCTATCTTCCGCTCCGTCGTTGAGTTCCTGATATCGTTCGCTCGTTCAGTCAGTGGCCGTCGTTCGAGGTCGGTCTCGACGAAGCGCAACGAATTTGACTGCGTTGATTCTTCCGGTTTCGTTTGGTACCCCGATACCAGACTCCTCGAGTTGACGATTCCTTGGACGAGTCTATGACGTTTTAATCTCGTCTCGAAGACGACGAGTGCGGAGAAGCGCGACGCGCGCCTTGATCCTCGGCGGTAACGATTGTTCTCTGGTCGGATCCTGATCGCTTTATTCAGATCCCGTTTGATCCGCGGTATCGAGCTACAGCATATCTGTCGATTCTCAACACTAGGACATCGCGAATAAACGCGGGATCAATCTCGATCTTTTCACGTTAGACGTTGTTCGTTTCGAGAAGATTGTCCGTTTCCGAACGTCTGTTCATCTGTCGTACCAGTCTTGGGTCGAGACGACAGCGCGCTCCACGTGCGGATCTCTCGATATACCGACTTGATCGGTTTCATTTATTCAACGCATCGCGAGATCCATCATACAAAGTGGAGGTAAAGAAAGTTTCGATCAAATTAGGATATCTCTTCCTGTCCCTCTCTTTTGTCTATGTTTGATTAAATCCCCACGTCGTTGGATGGAAAATCCATGTTGCGCGCGAACCACTTATCATGAATTCCGCTACGAATCCTCCCCGGGGAGAGTCGCTCGATGCCATCCGCGCTCATAAATTACTTTTTCACATCTGAAACGTAACTATATCATATCTCAAAATTCGGAAAATTGATCTACACTGCAATGTGTGAATATTTTATTGAAATTTGCTTTTTTATCGTTAGAAATAATGGCACACTTAAAACCATATCAGTTAAATGCAATTCTAGTAACGAGCATATTTCAGATTATTTATTATATAAAAATATATACATAATATTCTAAATATTTAAAAAAATCCTAGACGTATAATTTCAATATAAAACAATTTTTTATATATTTTATTTTATTTCTAAAAACATTTTAAAAGTACTACAATTAATAAATTTTATATTTTTTAAGTTATTTTATATCATACCGAATAAAGCATTTTATACATTTATCGATCACTTTTCTTCCTCTCACTTTATTAAATTTGTGATATAAATATGAGCAAAATTTATTTAGCAATTATTATTAAATATGTATGCAAATATATATATATATATATATATATATATATATATTTGCATATATAATATATATATTTGCATACATATTATATTATATCTTATATGTCTACTGTTTTTAAGATAAAATTTATATTTCTGAATATATTGTAATATCTCTATAGCTACACTTGGTGAAAGTTGTTGGTAACAGATCCAGATCGGAAGGTTGCAGCATGCTGGGATTTTACTCTATTAACTATTAAATTCTAATTCTAGAAATCGTTGGTTACAGCGCCGTAAGGAACGTGGACGGATCGCCGTGGAGAGCGTCCACGTGGTGGAGACTGCCAGTCTCGGAAGTGGTAGCACAGGAAGTGGCGGAGGCGGTGGTGTCGGCGATGCGGCGGGTGGCGGCGACGCGGGCAGCGGAGGCGGCGGAATACCATCCGGACTACCCTTCCAAGTGGGATATCGAGAAGCTGGTCAAGAGTACACGCTCTATCTACTCGCAGCTCGCGAGCAGGATCGCGCCGAATGGATACGTGCCATACGCGCTGGTAAGCCTCCCTTTTTTTATTTCCTTCCCTTTTCATTCCATTTTCCTCTTTTTTTTCGCCTCCCTCGCATTGACATTCGATGTGGGCTTTATGTATATTGGACGCGATAAAAGCTTCTTACGACAAGCAAGAATTATGTATTTTATCCTTATTACTTTTCCGATTTATCTTGATATTTTATTATGTATATGCTAGACGCATTAATATTGATAATGCTTTCGATCTCTAAGCTTTTGTAGCTTTTGTCTTGTAGGAAAGAAATTTCATATCGCGTTAGAACTTATACTTATATTTTATAAATAATATTAATAAAAATAATAACAATAATTTATTAAAATAATAATTTATTAAAATAATATTTCATAAATACAAGTATAAAGTTCATAGATGTGACATAATTTTTGTGATAATTTATAAAAATTTTATTGCACATAACATAATACGTGCGTGCTTGATTTGAGGGCTTAAGTATTAATTTTTTTTTCTCGCAACATAAATTGCAGTAAAATTGATATCCGTTATGACTGAAAAGATTGAATCAATATTATATTTCGAGGGATAAATTCTAAAATATCCTGCGCGTCCATAAAAAAGAATCTCGTCACAATTTATCGCATTAAAAATATCCGGGAATATATCATTCTTAAGAATTGAAAGTGAGTGGGATATTTATTTGTAGTGTGCAGTGAAAACTCGGGTTTGAGCGGGCGTTATCACGCGGGGCTCTGGAGTGGAAAACGTTGGTCCTGCTGCCGATTATCGACACGCTCAGCCGAAGGCTGCGACACCTGCAGCTCCTGGTCCACGAAATCGGTTACAAACGCCACGAATCCGTCCTCGACAACTACGTCAGTTTCGACAACATCGACATCCATCCCTGGCAGTACCATCAACAACACCATCTTGACGACCACTATTTCATCCGATCATCGTGCACAGTTAACGAACGCCGAGGCGAATAATAATCCGATCATCCAAACTCAGGCCCGCTCAACGATCGGTTCGTACTTTATATTTATTGTATATTTATTGTACGCTTTT